GAGGAAAAAAATCATTAAAAGTTTTCCTCTAGATACTATCTTTTGATTGTAAGAAGCTTCTATCAAAGTTTGGTATAAATCCAGGATAGTTTATGAATCTAATAAATGTATTACAAACTTTAACTACAGACTGTATGTAATGTTAACTGGAAGAAAAACTAATTCCATTTATAAGTTATATACGGAAAAACAGGAAATAAATTTTTACAAAATATACTTTTGGATACCATCTTATGATCATAAAAAAGCTTCTGTCCAAGTTTGGTACAAATCCAGGACAGTTTAAGAAAGTTATTAAAAATTAAAAAACTTTAACCACAGAGTGAATATTTGTGGACGCCGACGACGACGACGACGACGCCGACGACGGAATGTAGGATCGCTATGTCTCGCTTTTGCGACAAAAGTAGCAGGCTCGAAAAAAGGGATATTTTTCATCGATATAATATAATACTAAATATTTTCATTCCCGTGAAAAAAATTGTCAAAAATAAAACAATTTCTTATCTAAATGTGCAATTTATGATAATTTTTATTTTAGAAAAAGTATGTTTGAGTACGTCTTGCTTATTTGAATTGTATTCATACATGTATCTAGCCGTGCTTGTCAAGAACTAACCATCCATGCAACATACAATAAAAAAATGTAGCTATTATAGGTATACAGAGAAAATTGAAAACATCAATGTAGATAGATTACCTAAGCTTTAAATAATTTAATGCTTTATTCGGTAAAACCCTTTTGGAATTTTGGGTCCTCAATTCTACTCAACTTCGCACTTTATTTGCCTTTTTTTTTACATTTCTGATTCGAGCGTCACTGATGAGTCTTTTGAAGACGAAACGTGCGTCCGGCGTAAAAAAAATTATTCCTGGTACATGTACCTATGATGAGTTTATTTAGCTCAAGATGTACATTTATATATCGTAATAGGGCATTTTGCAGATTAAACACTATTGTGCTAAATCAGACAAAGTATTAGTATATACATATATATATTAAAAAATGGAAAGTTCTTTGGTAAAGTTATATGTATGTATGATCGTTTCATGACAATATCAATCGTTAATAGGAATCAAGCGAATTTACCGGGGAACGCGAGAAACAAATTCCTTTTCATATCATCCTTATTTTTTACAGACTTCCACTGTACAGATACATTCATTTCTACTTTTTCAACTTTAGACCACGTTTTCTATAAAATCTTCTCACTTTGTTTATTCGGAAGGATTAACTCTCTTAAAAACTTTATATAAAACGGAGGTATTCAGAATTTCCCCATTCCACAACGATCAAAATGTTCACTGCAAGCGCTTATGTTGACTGGAGGGTTACTTTTATTAATATCTGCTGTTTATTTACTCTGACCCTGATATGAATGTTTACATCTTTTATGATATGTAACAAATTTACAACAATCGTTCTCCAACGAACTATCTAAGGTATTACAGCGCACACACCACAATTTATGATATACTTTTTCTGAAATATAGCCCAACTATCGTTGATTTTTTTTCTGTTAATAGCAATGAGTTGGAGTATTCCACTCAAAGAAAAGTTTCATATCTAGGGCGCATTAAAATAGTATTTCTGTCTTTTTATTAGGATTGAAAAAATCATAAAGAGCTATTAAAATGGGCGTGTCTTTGTATTACAAAGAAATATCGGTCATAGAAGTTTCGTTTACCTTTCTGGTCACGATGAAATTAGGCAATGTGTAAAAATAAATAAAGCTATTCAATTTCTACAATGAAATAAATGGAATTTTCTGATTATATTTAGCATGTTTAGAATTGATTCATCATGATTCTTTTAAAAAAGAGAAGAACTTTTCAATATATTGCATGATATTATTTTAGTAATGCAATCAAATCTGCTTTGTACTGTGTTTCAATTGAATACATATGACGGATTTTCTATAAATACTTCCGACATCAATATACGTATACAATACATATCAAGCTTGCAATAATAGCTTGAAGGACAACGACAAATAAGCTATTATAATAATATCCTTTTTTAGCAATGAGTGATTTTTTAGTATCTCTTTCGTTGACTAGGTGTTTTCGAGTCTTGTTAGCAAAGTGGAATTTCATTCTTTGTCTTACATTGCAGTGGTGTATTCCAAAATAGGCAATTAAGAAATAGGAGCAAACATTTGGTTCGAAAAAGGTACTTATTATACTGACAATCTTGTGGCATGCATAAGCTCTTGGATTTAAAGTAGTGTGTGAACCCTCAGACTGGTGTGGATGGGTACATTACTATATACATCTGATTCAACTGACTACTAGTATCTTTAACTATATCGTCAGGGAAACACTTTTATAAGACATAAGGGCTTTGTTTACTAGTAAAGACATCAAATGAATAGTTGTAAAAGAAGGGAAGGGTGAATTCGATTATCTGAATTAAGCCCATTACATCCGAGCCCTTTCAACAATCCTTTGGAGAACCATTGCGGCCTATTGCGTGGTTCTTATCTTATTTCAGAAGAAATAATTTAATTTCACGTTTGCAGATAAACTATTTCGACCAATAATTTTTCAACGACCTACGTACCTTATTGATTAAATGTAACTCTGTTCTTCTGAATATTCATAAAATATTTGCCACTGAACCATCCATAACTAAATTATGTTGGCCACAATAGCCGTTTCTGCTGTTTTCTTTGGCTCTTACAATGGCTTTGATAATTATTAACGTACTCTGTATTTGACATACCTAATTGTTAGTCACTGGGTTGTTCCAAAAGCACCTGCATTGGGTAAATTTAGTAAACTAATTTTAACCTGAAAAGGTAATTTTGATCTGAACAACTCTCTCTCTCTCTCTCTTTAAAGACTAAACTTTCACACATTTTTCAGACTTATCCACTGCGGAAAATTCAGTACTGTTCAGACACTACGTTCAACTTTGTTGTCAGTTAGGAACTATCGTTAAGATGCAGCGAGGTGGGAGTTTTACTTTAAGATTGATCCCTACCTGTGTCTTTGATATAAATAACAGCAATAGAGGTGCAGTTCCCCTTGCCTTTTTTCATGATCGTGTAATTATTTTGTGTTATGAATTGATACACCACATCCTTTCTTTTCCATTGCAATTAGAGGATGTTTAAGTTATTTCAAATTATAGAATTTCGAAAGCCTATTGGCACTTGAGCTTTTGGACACATCTAGGTGGGTCTGGATGGGAGTCCTTCATTTCTGTATTCTTTAATTTTTGAGGCCATTTTTCTCTATTCTTTTTACTTTTTGACCATTATTCTCTATTCTTTATATTTTAGCACCTCATTATCATCTTTTCTTTATTTTTTGCCCATTATTCTCTATTATGTAAACCCCTACCCACACCGTCATCTAGATAGCCTGAAATAGAAAATTATCACACAGAAAGGCAAATGTATGAAAATAGCGATATATTTTTCAAGGTCATGTATGTCTATATATATAACTAACTTTTGACATAATATAACCTTTTATTGGAACAAAATACTGTAATTGATAGATTTTTCAAGGTCATGTTCGTGTATAAACTGTACGCCTACTTAAAAGTTAAATCACAAAAATACTGAACTCCGAGGAAAATTCAAAACGGAAAGTCCCTAATCAAATGGCAAAATCAAATGATAAAACACATCAAACGAATGGACAATAACTGTCATATTCCTGACTTGGTACAGGCATTTTCAAATGTAGAAAATGGTGGATTGAACCTGGTTTTATAGCGCTAAACCGCTCACTTGTATGACAAGGTAGCATATGTTGAAAGGAAATTGCCTTCCGTCAGAATGTGTATACAAGGTTATCTCCATAGATGATAAAATTTTCTTTGTTTTCCTTTCCGGAAAAAAACTTACACAAATACATCATACTTATTATTTTTATCTACCACAAAATGAAATCTTTTAAGTAGATGTCATTTACTAACATTTATCTTTTTTTTTTTTTTACTTACATTAGAATTAAAATTACATGTAATATGAAACAGTCTATAAAACTGTCTTGACCATAGGGAACCAGTGATGTTTTGGAGGAACAACATCATTTTTGATTTTTGGTATATATAAATACTTGCAACCAAACCGTTATTGAAAAATTAAGTTTAAGAAATATTTTTTGGAAAAACATATACTCACTGATACTACTTGAACATTATTATCATATTTTAAATTGACTTTATACTTATTTGTCGCTTTTGTTTTGCTTAACACTTAGCAGCAAATATTTCATGCAGCAACAAATATTTCATGCAGAAACAAATATTTCATGCAGCAGAAAATATTTCAATAAGTAGCAATTATTTCATGCAGTAGAAAATACTTCATCCAGCAGTAAATATTTCATGCAGCAGCAAATATTTCATCCAGCAACAACTTTTTCATGAAGTAGCAACTTTTTCATGCAGCTGCAACTATTTTATCCAGAAGCAACTATTTCATGCAGCAGCAAATATTTCATCCAGCAGCAAATATTTCCTGAAGTAGCAACTAGATCATCCAGCAGCATATATTTTATGCAAGGGCAACTATTTTATCCACAGCAAGTATGTCATCCTGCGGCAAATACTTCATGCAACAGCAAACACTTCATCCTGCAGCAAATATTACATGCATGTTACGACGAGACTGTATTGTACAATGCATAAAAGAAATAAGTACTGCAAAATTTTTAAGGTGGTATTGAGGGAAGGATATTACTTGGTTTGCCATCTGAAATAGAGGGAATGATGGATAGATCCATCTAGAGTTTGCACGGGTTTAACGCGGAGAGTGTTGAATTCTCTCAACTCGGGGTATCGGTATTAGCGTCATTTCAATCAGGCAGGTTTCGTACTTGAAATATCCGATACAACTGCGGACACAAAAGTCGAAGAAAATGGGACCAACTACATTATCCTTGGAATCCTTCGTATACACATAGCTCATGCAGAGACTGGGCCAATAAATGGGTACAACATCATTATTCTTCTAGAGAGTACTCCAAAGCAAAAACTCACGTTCTATAAACAATAACTTTATTCGTCACCATACTCATATACAATGTACATGTAAATACAGAATATAAAAAAGTATACAACAGTTGTGAATTATCAAAGCAAATAATAACTATTGTGAAAAAAGTATACAATATTTTTAAATTATCAAAGCAAATGAGAACTTTTATGAAATAGGCTAAAATATCGAGATTTCTTTAAATGTAGTGAATGAAGCTAGTACGGAAATATTCTGGATAAACATACATTCTGTCATGCTTCTCATTAATGTTAAATATACATACACCCGTATGTTTACATCTTGAAAACCGTGCAACATAGATTTACAAAGAGGCAGGGTCAGTTTCCCCTGATTTTTTTTTCGAACCAGAGCCATTTTCAAAAAATCCTAAAATTTCCTGTAATTCAGTTTCGTGAGTATATTTGAACTTCTTACAATATTATGACATATTTTTAAACATATGACCATATCATAAATGCATAAAGATGGCTCAAAACTGCAATTTTCATATATGTTTGCCAAATTTATAATATTTATTCAAGACCAGATTAAGAAGGACATTCTAAATAAAAACTAAAATTATATAAGAAGAAAAGCTATGTTTTGCCTTTCAGATACAAATCTATTGATTTTGGTTAGACATATCCTTTGGTACAATTTATTAAAAAGATCTGTAAAAAATGACAAAAGTACCTTTATTTCATACATGCAGCTATATGTACCGTCGGCAAACATATTGAGTCCAAGTGATTGCAAATATTTAGAATAAGATACATCTTGAGGGCGTTAGCCCGAATGGATGTATCTAATTTACACTAAGGTATTATTGTCAATGCAGAATGACAGTTTTCAATAATTTAGGAGGGGAGTCTTTCAGCGATTTGACAATATGTTTTTGAAAAGCATGATAAATGCAGGGAATCCAATTTCATTTAACGACATATATATATATATATATATATATATGTCTGCCTATGTGTAGTGACAACTGTAAATTGTGATTAAGAAATACCAGGCGTTAGAATATTTATAAAGTGCCTAGAAAATAAACTTCCTTCCAATTGATATTTTATAGTGTGTTCTTCTATGTTGTGATGTTATACTATTGTTTCAGAAAAGGGAGAAGGTTTGGTACCATTAAAACGTTTAATCCCGCTGCAAATGTTTGCACCTGTCCTAAGTCAGGAATCTGATTACAGTAGTTGTCGTCTGTTTATGTAGTTCATACGTGTTTCTCGTTTCTCGTATTTATATAGATTAGACCGTTAGTTTTTTCGTTTGAATGGTTTTACACTAGTAATTTTTTGGGGCCCTTTATAGCTTGCTGTTCGGTGTGAGCCAATGCTCCGTGTTGAAGGCCGTACCTTGACCTATAATGGTTTACTTTTATAAATTGTAACTTGGATGGAGAGTTGTCTCATTAGCACTCATACCACATCTTCCTATATCTATTTACAATGTTAGAGCAGATCTGATTCTTTACTTCCTCCCCGACAGGGGCTGGAACCTGTACTTTTCACTTCATACTTCTACGACAACACCGCCTAGCATTGCGCAGACGCCTTATCCCCTCCTCTAACTATAGCTGATAAAAAATCAGCTTTCGTGTCGGGAGGTGTTACCTTCTCGTAGGAATTAAACAAGGACATCTAAACGCAATACACAAAGTATATTTAATTGTAAAGGAATTATCATCCACTCATCTCTTCAGTAAAAGCGTCTGCGCAATGCTAGGCGGTGTTGTCGTAGAAGTATGAAGTGAAAAGTACAGGTTTCAGCCCCGGCCGGGGAGGAAGTAAAGAATCATATCTACTCTAACATTGTTAGGTTGATTTTCTAGGCACTTTTATATATATATATATATGCTAGTCAAATGCGTTTTGTTAAAATATACTTTTTCACCTTTTTGGTCCTTTGGTAAATGTTGTTTGTGCTGTTTTTAGACCCCTCTACCAAGAAATTTGTTTTGCATGCACACGTATAAAAATTGCGGTTTTTATCCAACGCAATTATAGGTTTGAACGTTGTTTTCAATTTAGACTTGTATATATATTAGGGATGTCAGTGACAATTACTAATCGAGTACTCGTTGGTTTTATCGAGCGATACTCGAGTACTCGCTCGGGAATATATCTACAACACGAAAACACGTATTTTAAATTCTGTGGTTTTTTGCTCAACGGAAGGAAAACCATCTAGATAAGTATCTGGGACTAGGAATTACACACAATAATTATTAGCTCATTACCTACAAGTACTAATTAAGTTAAAAAATAATAATCTAAACAATATAATTTAATGAGCACCTATTTAAAAATCATAAAAAGGAAAAACAATATCAAAGAATAGTACATTGTATTTGGTAATCGTTAAGAAAACACATTTAATGCTTACAAAGGCGTAAGGATTTATTAAAAGTTTAATTTTCACTGAGGGTCACCAGAGGATGCAACGAATTTATTTTATTTGTAAATATTTTCTTGTCAACTATTATTGGGAACAGTCGGTTTTGCAACTTTGTAAATAACAGTCTTGCAGACGAAAATATTTTCTCTGACGGTACCGATGTGACGGAATGCCTAAGACATGTTTAGTTTAAAATGTTAGCCTAGGTATAGCCCACGTATTTTCGGAGGGATTTTAAATCATAATTTAGCACAAGCATTCGAAACAAAATGTATTTTATTTACTTGTAGGATTATTAAGTGATGCCTATTAAATTTTCCGAAAGAGGTTCTCAAGAAGATCAATTTTTTATAAAGAAGACAGCAATATTCTAACAGGAAACCGATTAGTCGAGTATCGTTTTGGTATTCGATACTCGGTACTACCGAGCGATACTCGAATACTCGTTGACATCCCTAATATATATATATTTTTCAGGTTAACGGACGACTTCAAAAACAGTTTTACATTGATAGCTAAATTATATTATCAATTCATTTAAAATAAAAATGATTGTATTTCCTAGAATAAAATGATAAAAGTGTTGAACGATTTAGAAACCAGACCCGTTATACCAGTTTAGTTCTATCAAATTTCCAGTATAGATTGTCCACAGTATAGTCAGTTCGATTTGTATAAAGTAAATAAGCTGACTCATGTTACTGATATCAACATTATACTGTAACAGATTGTACTAATTTACAAAGACGATATATAATACAATAATAATTCAATAAAAAATTATCAATATTCTCGAACTTAACTTTCAACATTCTCAAAATTAACAATCTTGCTCACACAAACACACACACATACGTCTACGCTTTATTTTCATCCCTCATTGGTTAATAAGCATAGAAATCATTTACAGAGTACAACGCTATCTGACAGAATGGTCTTTTTGTACTTTTGATTCGATAGGGATGATACAATTTATCTGTCTGTTCGACACGTTTTGACAAGCCATTTGTAACGTTCTATGTAAATATATACTAGTATCTAAAGGTTTAAACTGACTCTTAAAAATGGGGACGCGAAACAATTTTGTCCTCCAAAATAATTTACCAATCTTTACTTCCAATTTCCATCCAGTTCTGGACAAAATATATTAACATAATGGGAATCTTTTAAAGAATCCTCTTTAAAAATCTATCACCAATGTTATTGTACGGCAAATTATAAATAAGGCGCTTGTCATATTAACCTTTGTCATTTATAGCCCAAAAGAAACTTCGTTGACATGGAATAGACACTTACCAACATAACATCATGACTTAGAAAAAAACTGTCTTCTCAGTTTTTAGTGGGACACGAGTATTAAAATTCTTGATTTATTTGAATTGATTGTTTGTAAGCAGTTGTAACAAGTACATTTATAATCTTGGAACGATTCTATAGTTAATGTGGAGGGTGAGAAGGACATCACAAGAACAGTGTAATCCGAACTGATTCAGAAAGTTATTGATGCCTCTATGTGTCGTTTAAGTTGTCTTTCATAGTTTATGAAGAAGTTTCTTGCATACTGGAGCTTGCCTTACATATACTGTAGCCATTGAAAAAATAATAATAGTATCATTCTAATGATGCAAGTAAAGAAAACACAAGTAATTCTAGATAAACGACAATAGTTTAGTCGTAAGCTTTTCGTGTAATGAAAAGCCCGAACTGCTATTATAATGTAGTTTTATCTAAAAAATACAAAGATAAAAAAATCAATCGTATGGCACGAGCAATCCGGAAACCTTGCGTTTTCTATGAATTAAGTCGTATAATTTTCGATAAGAAACCACACAGTCCATAATAGTGTTACATGTAGTATGTTTAGCCTGTAAAAACGTCAAACGTCGAACCTGGGCCTACGAAAACTGTCACAGGTCGTTGTCATGCCATTAACATAATACCAGTTACAGCTTAGTCAAATGTTATTTACAACAAAAATACATTAAGAAATGCAAAAAGAAAACACGTGAATAATGATACACAATTACGGGAGCTGCCACCAGTATCCCCAAGACTGTATATTACTGTTGGGTCATAGTAAGCTGTCCCTGTGAACTTGTTTAGACGAATGTAAAATATTTGTTTACTGCCCTGAGTCATAACCATTGGATATCCAGATGCCATTGTTGTCCAATCATCAGTGTTGTATTTGACCTATACAAGAAGAATAAAACATAATTGGAAACATATCTGTAAAACACTATAAGCATTATACATATAACATATATATACATATGGAATTTTGTCGGTTTATAGTCAGGATACCCATATTCATTGCCAGTTTTTTGTTGTTGCTTTTAATCTTGATGTTTTACACATTTTGTTCATTCAGTATAGTACCGCCATTGTGATTTTGTTCAATATATACCCATGATCTATCTGCTCTATTACAAGAAGTCGTAATGATTATTCTTTTGTTATGCAAAATAATGCCATTGCATATTAGTACATAGTAGGTGTACATTTCTATGTTTTTAGTTTACATGGTACATGCAGGAAAAGTACAGATGAAAATTATATAAATTATAATGTACATGTTTAAAACAGGCCAATCATCAAAATTAATGTTCATCATCTCTGATTTAAGATTAAGTAAGATGTAAATATGATGTTCTCTTAAGCTCTATTGATAAAGGTACGATTGAATAAGTTGCTATTGTCAGTTACTAATTAACAGAAGTTTCACAAGAAATATAAGACAAACTGTTCAATCTTTAATCTCTGAGAACAACCGAAGAAAAATATAATTACTTTTTAATACTTCAATGGTATTTTAAATGCACACTTGAATATTCGGCTCTTACCTTTCTTGACATGACCACCGAACTGTCTTCACCAAGGTCATATTCTTCGGCATTACCTTTATCGCTGTCTTGTTTTTTCTTCGGAGTACCTTTGCCTTTAATGATCATTCCAAAGTCTAAGAATTCGCCAGTCTCGCTTTGAGAGCAGGTTGTAGCACCCTGTCCACAAAACTTCCAGTCTTTGATTGTTGTGCTGAATTTCATATTTCCTTTTTTCACCATTGTAGTTTCATTTCCAAGATTTATGTCACCGTCTTCTCGAAATATAAGAACTTCAGTCTCCAGCATAGCACCTTCGGAATTCAGTGTTGCGCTGAAAGTAAATTTTTTCACTGTCAGATTCATGAATTCTGAATCTATTGGTGATGTGAACTGAAAGTCTGTGACGGCAAAGTTGTTAAATCTGTGCTTATTGTCTTGTATGTCACTACCGTCTGTTTTCTTTTCTTTCAGTTCAGAAAATTCAATGGTAATTCTGTTCGGATCTTGTGACGGGTTTTGCCTATTTCCTACTTGAATTTTACCCGACTTTCCTAAAACTTTGACCCAAACACCTTCTGCATTGGTTTCCCTGTCCGTTGTGGGCGTGTCAGGGGTATCAGGTGACTTTCCTAAATCAACTTGTGGGTCGTACAATACACTCTTTGAAAATTTGTCAAAACGGAAGACAAAAAGTGTTTTTGCACCTTTTTGTTCCAGTTTGGGATATCCAGATGGTGTTGCTACCCAGTTACCATTATCGTCATATTGAACCTTTAGTATAAATAATAACAGTTATTGTAATTATGAGAAAAAAAACTTAATTAATTAACATCGGAGATCAATTTGCGATCCTTGTGGTACAGTATAACAATAAAACTTGCTAATTCCAGGTCAATAAGAGGTGGCTAAAGAAAACGGATGTCAAAACATTTTTGATACAATGATTATATGTAATATTTTGGTAAGATTCTGCACAGGATATATACATAGGTCACAAAAACGAAAACAACACTTTATAAATAACGATTACTAACAAAACACGGAGGAATTATGCTGCCTGGGAATCGAAACAAAACAAAACAAAAAACAAACAAAACAAAATAAAAAACAAACAAACAAACAAAAACAAACAAAAAAAAAAAACAAAAAAAAAAACTATAAAACAAATGAAAATGATGTTTGAAATTATAAAAAATGGCATACAAATTTCTAAACGATAACGACTACGTAAGGACTTTCAAAAAAGTATTTATTTGTACTTTAAAAAAAATTAAGTACTAAACACAATTTACATATCTGGGAGTAAACAAAAACATTAACCATGAAGTAAAAATACTACTTAGATATAGGCTAAAGAGCGGGTATCAATAAATTTTACAGATGCGCTTTACTGAATTTAAAGTACATAACTTTTCATTTTTTTTTACCAAACATATTTATTTCAATGTTCATAAAATTTCTTGAATAAGGAAGGCACACCTAGAGTTGTTCATGTAGTTCAACTTCTGCCAACAGTGATCACTACCCTATCAAGACCATTCTCAATTGTATCTTAAGGTTAATTGAAAGTTCAAACCCTGGCGGCAAGGTGTGTTCAACTCCGATCTTAAATAATAAATGACTTGAGTTGTAAGCCTTTCCTGTCGAAAAAAGGTAGGTCTCATCGGGTATACCGGCTTCCTCCGCCAATACAAACTGTTTCCCGCCGTATAGCAAAGAATGCCGAAAGGAGCGTTAAAACAAAAAAAAACAAAATCAATAAATCGATAAAAAGCCGGGCACATCTTTAATTCAGATCAAAACAAGTCGCAACACTTTACGGTCAACTAACTAAAGACGTAAGGGAAAAGACAAATATCTTCATTCCAAATACATTTAAGGTGGTACCCAAAACCTTCACTAAAATTAATTTGGCTCGTTTAATTTTCATAAAATTTTGGCAAAGTATTTACTTTGACCCTTTGACAAACATAAAAATTTCTAAAAATTTGAACCAACCAATTTATCAGAAAAATTACACTGGTTATATAGCAGTTTGACAAACACTAAATGGTGGATAGTTCTCTCATTGGCAATCATATCACATCTGAGAATGGTAACATAAAAGTTTTTGATTTGCGCTTTTGGTTGTGAAACGAGACATTTCATGTGATCCCCAGATATTCAAGTAGAGAAATTGAGCAAAATATAAAAAAAAAGATCCTATCTATCTCTTTTGTACGGGAGGTAACTCTAAATATTCATATTTTTTGTTATGACTTAACAAAGTGTCATCATCCCCTATCCTAGTGCTTAAAATGGAATAATTAAGGAAAAGGAATGAAAAATATGCTGTAAACAAATTTGAAGCCGTGTGCAGAAGACGATATTGTGTAATTTGAAATATTTAATTTGTCAAAGCGTAAATCAATAAAATCGTATAATAAACAGAAAATAATGGGATCGTAAAATAGCGTTTAATTTCTAATACCCGTGTCATAAATTTTTGCTCTGGTGGATGGATACTTGTCTCATCGTCAATCATACCACATCTCCCTATATATGACCAAGTCATATACGCCTATTTTTAAATTCGGGTGTATTTCATAAATGAATAATGCATGTTTCTTTTTTAAACCAAATTAAGTTTTGGTTGAATGATGAAAAGAAAATCGTGATCAGGAAGTTTTTTTAAACCAAAAATGTTAACAAAAAAAAAAAAGTAAAACGAAGAAAATAAAATGTGAGTTGGCTTTTGATTGAAACCGACAAAACATATTATTTCAATATTATAAATGTGTTTTCTATAGAAAATTCAAACTGAAAATTTGTCAAATACGCAATGACATTATCTTTTTTTTAAATATGGACCATAGTTTTTTAAAGAAAAAAAAATGTGAATGACTTAACGGTTGAGTTCATGCACCATTTAAAATCCCATATTGGGACTGAAACCGGTCATTTATGACAAAATGTTTACATCCGTGTCAATGATTTTTTTAACCGAATGTGAATTAGATCAGCTAACATTTTTATTTTTGTTTACTTTCGTATTTAATGTATCTATATTCATCGTCATCATTTCATTAAAAACAACAGAAAAAGGGGTCTGCAAGCCTTGAAGGTCACAATTAAAAGTGATATGAATACAACTTCTTCCTTAAATAACATAAAACTAATTCAAACCCTTTATGAATTGGCCGAGAAATTTGAAAGTGGAAGATCTGGAGTGTCTCGCCCCTCCGCCTTCTCCCCTCTCTTCCGTCAAAAGAATATAACGCTTAGCTGAAAGCAAATAAATCATAAAAATCAATGGCCTTTTTTTCATTGAATGCTGGTAAAAACCTTTCTTTTCCAGTATTTACTTATTACAGATGGTGAATTGTTTAAGTTCAAGCAGTATTTGAAGGGTGACACGAGGGTGCTCTTTTCAAAATCCCGCCTTTTTGTATTTTTTTCCCCACCTCCAATTCCCACTTTTTGTTCTCTTTTTTCCCAGATCCCACTTTTTTACCTCATATATCGCACATCCCATCTTTTATACCATCTAAATCCAAGATCCCCCCTTTTTTACCCCGTATATACCACATCCAAAAAGCAAGTCATGCCCCTCGTATATTGGTCAAGTATTCACACGCCTTCTTGTCAATGTATGATGAATGTTAACACAATGTTCGCCCAATAAAGGGCTTACACCATGTATATATCGTATATTAACAACATAAACAACGTTCCTTGAATCAAAATAACATGTACAGTCGCCAAACACAATACTAACATTCTCAATCAACAGATAATAAATAACAATAGCTTAAATATTTGATCTTTAACGTTACGAGTATTTTTTAATTTGCATGATAAAAAATATTTGATAAAAAATATTTGTAAAAAGGAAGTTAAATAAGAGGCAGTAGTTCTAGCTTAAATAGGAAGAAACGTTTTAGTTTTTCGGCAAACAGAATTCAATATTTATAGAATAACTAATCGAAGAATTCAAATAGAGAAAAATATTCAACGAGTGACCGAACAACACATTAATTCACGAATGCGCGTAGCGCATGAGTTAATTATCAGTGTTGTTCGGTCACGAGTTGAATATTTTTCGATATTTGAATTCTTTGATTAGTTATTCTTTTTATTACATTGGCAAATGGCTTTTTTATGAAATTAAAGTAGAAAATGTAAGGAACTATATCTTTTTCTACGCATTCACAATTTGTTTTGATCCGACGTTATCGACGTCCTGACAACGCCTATTGTTGTATGACGTCAGAGGAGTGAAATAACCACGTTTATTTCACATGTGAAATTATCGGTTTTTATTTCACTGGGAAATCAATGTAATTCATTGCAACCAATGTAATAAATTAAATTATTTTTGTCGGGAAAAAAACTGTATGAAAAGGTTATCAAAAATAAAAAAATCTCTAAATACTTTTTCAGAAGAGTATTCGAAATATATGTTTTAATACAAGTTTTACAGTGGGTTGCTGGATAATTAATTTTTCTCAATGCATAACTGAGGAAAATGCCTGAGACATTACACAAAAATGTGGAAAATTGAAATCGTGACGGAAGCGAACATCTGTAGTACGTCGGTATGTTTCATATTATTTATTTTTTTGGGCTAAGATCAGTCAAAAGGAAGAATCGCATGAGCAGGTGCTTTGAATAGATGAGGGTGTGGATGGGGGTTTACAGAATAGATAATAATTGGCAAAAAATATAAAGAATAGAGAAAAATGTACCAAAAAAATAAAGAATTGAGAATAATGGGCAAAAAGTATAACGAATAGAGGAAAATGGCCTAAAAAATTAAAGAATACAAAAATAAAGAACCCCCATCCAGACCCTCATAGATATCCAAAAGATTGATATCAGTAAGTCTCACCTTGTCTGATATGATCACACTGCTACCACTTCCAAGATCGTATTCGTCTGCAGTTGTCTTTTTCCCGCCACCAGTTTTCTTCTGCGGAGATGCTCCTTTTCCTTTAATGGCAATTGTAAAGTCTATATATTTCCCAATTTCAGTTGTCGATCCCTTATTACATGTGACGCCGGCGCCACAAAATGTCCAATTTTCAATGTGAATGTTAAATTTGACAGTTCCTTCTGAAACTGTTGTGTTTTCACCATTAAGACTATAAGTTCCATTTTCGGTAAAAATAAACACGTCAACAACAAGTTTTGCGCCTTTATCAATAGTCGCAGAAAAATTGAAAGTCTTAGCCGAAATATTCTCGAATTCTCCATCTCCAACTTCACTATACTCAAACTCTTGGTTGGCAAAGGTGTTGAAGCTGTGTTTTGTGGCTGGAGCACCACCGGCTCCCACTGGGTTCCCATTCATATCTGTTTCTTTAATTTCGTCCATTTCGACTGTTACTCTATTTTCATCGGACTCAATATTTTCAGACCGGCTCATCATAATTTTCCCAGACTGACCTAATACTTTAACATATACTCCGGCGCCAGAGATTGTTCCATTTCCATCATCAGCTGCTGCTAATGGACTTAAAATTCCGCAAATAATAAAGAAAACGCTACCGTAACTTATTGCATGTAATTTCCCCATTACAACTTTTTAACTTAACTACAATTTTCTGGATTATTGATTTTTCTTCAATTTACGATTTATATACACAATCAATACAAGTCAAACATATATTACAGGTAAGGCGAATGAATATGACCAATGGGCGGATGCACAAAGCTTGTGTGACAATGAGTAACTGATCTGTAATAAAGTTTAAGTAAAAGGAAGTACGCATTTCCCCTATGTGTCCACTAAGTAGTGAATCGTAAGGTAACCGACCTTCAAAGCAAAGACACAAAAATTCTAATTCTAAATATACACAGTGACTTTTAAAACTAGTCCACAGTTCGCTTATGTTAATTCAAGAACTATGGTCTAGTTAAATTAGTTAGGCTTTCTTATCATTTCAGAGATCAAGTAGTGGTATATAAGACATTACCATTGTATCAATGAGGGCAAGGGATCATATGTTTTGTGAGAAACTAAATTCATTTTTAACTGAAATGGACGTAAATTATTTTTTATAAATAGACATGTACAGTTTTCTTAGTAAATGCTATAGAAAGTATGCTTCGACATGTAACATGCAACTTCGTTTAAACCCTTTTATTTCTGGTTTCATTTATTATACAGAAATAAACGGTTACTATGTTTAAACGACTTCAAACTTTATATATTTCCAGGACTAAGTGCTTGTGCATAATAAGCCCCCTCTCTCTTCTCAACATTAAACAAACATTCACATTCGAACATACTGAGGGATATGTGTGTCTGGATTAGAAACCCGACAACCGGACACGCTTAACATACAAAAATACAGATTGCATATGTAGGAACCCCCCTTTTTTGGGGCCATCCAGAAAGGGGAGGTCCGGGGGTTGGAACACCTTTTTTTACGATCAATGCTTTAGACTGGAGACATATGACTGGAACCCCCCTCTTTTGTCCTGGGTTGGGACTCCCTTTTAAAAATAGTTGGATCCGCCCGTGGGTGCCATCATTAGTCTTCAACAATCCAAACATTAATATTTATTTTATGATTAAGACTTAGTCCAAATGAAAACTATATGTTTTTAATGTATAATTCAAATAAAAGTTATTTACATGTATGTTCTTTCAGACATTGCCATATGGGATTAAAATTTAAGCTTTAAGCAAAGGAGCATTTAAATGATTTTTTTTTTCAAAATAGATGCTAAACATTTTTTCGCTATTGGAATTTCCTGAAATGTTTTTTTTTTTAATATGTCTTGAAACAACTTGTAGTGAACACTATTAGTAATCTCTTATGTTCATGCTATTAAAAAAAAACAATTTCTATTGTTATGAATAACAATGGACTGTGTTTTCTGGATGTAGAAGCCGGGGTTTCCAGAAATCCATTGTTATTCGTAACAATAGATCTATTCAATTTACACTTGTTTCAGAAATAGAAACTATGAAGTATAACAATAGAACTGGGGTGTAACTTTATAGAAGCAATGTTTTATATGGTACACAATGAGAGACTGGTCGTCCTTATTCAAAATTAGGCTATCCTCGGGCGAGTCTGCTACTCTCTTTCTTTGTTAGATCGAAAAGCGGCCGAGTTTAGACGAGTGCGCTCTTACTAACAAAGGATCGAGATATAAAGATAAAGAATCAAAATCTATGTCTTGTAAGCATGTACTCTCGTGTGACGTAATGGCATATGTTAGTTTATCTCTTTAAGCCAAAAAGTGTCATGGCATTCCATCAGCTTCTGTAGCTTCTTGATATTTGGTAATCAGTTCATCTAATAAAATAATGTCTACCGTGTATCCGTTTTTCCGATTGTCTTCATTTAATTTACTTGTTTGCAAAAAACATTCATGCCCTTGACATATTTTGCAAATATATAACCGTATCATTCGATCGGCTTATAATATAACCATATTAAGGAGATGTAGTTAGATTTCTAATGAGAAAAATATCCACCAGAGACAAACGGACGAGGGTGTTCACGGTATGGCATTCAACAATGAGTAAAACTAATGCATCTATAAAATTCCCCAGCATTACAAAAATGTATAATAAGCAATTTCTAATTACCAAGCTCCATCTTGGAAACTTGTATCATGTGACACATGTTAGTGTCCTTCACTCATCTCCCACGATTTCCGATATAATTATGCCCTTTACATACTATGTTCATACATAAATTTGTCCCATTTTCAGAGCAAATATACATTGTTGTTTTTCTGCTCTTTGGTCGGGTTGTTGTCTCTTTGACACATTCCCCATTTCCATTCTCAATTTTATTGTAGCTTCGTGATATCTCAAGTTAGTTATATATATATTATTTGACGTATTTTCTGCTCCCCTCTCAACTTTTTTCTCGTCAACCAATAAAGCATACATTATCATAGGGGCATTACGTGCAGCTTAAATTTGAATTACATAGTTGATAAGGCAAGACAATGTCAAAATAATCAATGAACAGTTATTGCTTATGTAAACGAGTAATCAGAAAACTTAACTTTTGAGTTATTTGAAAATTTTAAAGCAGTTACAAGATACCAAGCTGATATAGTTTTCACGAAAACAGCCAACAACTGCTAAAAATCGGGGGAAAAATCGATATTCAGGGGCAAAAAAATTTCAAAACAAGGGGATATTTTTCTAAATTTTTATAGGGTAGATATGCTTATTGTTCTGACCATTTTTACTTTTTCAGTTAACCTCTAATAGCTTTTGTTTTCGAGATTTTAGCCAAAACTATAGTTTGACCCCTGTTCTCTATGTTAAACCAGGGTGGCCATATGTTGGTTGATCCACCTGTACGAAAATCTTAATCACATAAGTTATAGCTGACGTCCTATAGATGAAACAGACGAACTGTTGAGCAGTTTCAGAGATTTTTATAGAAAAGTTTATGGACGACGAACGACGGACAACAGACGCCGTCACAAAGTGATGACAAAAGCTCACATGGTCCTTCGTGCAAGGCGAGCTTAAAATCACCATCCAATGATGTAATTTTCATAAAACGGAATTTTTTTACAATAAAGATTTGTCCCCTCCAAACACAATTCTTGTATCTTATGTTTCACAGAAAGAATGTATACGACTAGTAGTTTCACAATACATATAAAGCCCGGTTTTGATTGTTGATCACTGGAATGTATTATGTGCAATCAATCTGATTTAAATACAGATATTATGCGACTGTAACCTTCTTTTAAGCGAAGTGTAGACACGGGATCTATATTTAGGTCAGATTGGATTTATAATAGTAATTTTAAAAGAGGTTTCGTGAAAAAGAATGACAGACCCGTCGGTATGTTGAAAGTAAGCCTTATACAAGTGTAGGACATTTATGTATCTTCCTCGTCCTGTAAAGTGAAGTAACAAATTCATTAAAAAAAAATCACCAAGTCTTACTTTGATCTGGAGAATGTCACTGAAGATGACTGGATGGATTGTTTAATGACCTGTGGCAAATACTACATGTTTGTCAAAGCAAGAACATGTAATTTTGATAGGAGTTTGAACCTGAGTACTTAACCGAAACGCTGAGCCGGATGCTAAGTTGCTAGTTAACAAGGTAACATTCCGCAGGAAGATAAGCCACATGTAAATTTTGTTAAAAAAAATCAACTCCATAATATGAGGCAGATTTTTCTAAACTGTTCAGTTGATCATTCTTACCCCTGTCAGTTTTTTCTAAGTGTTATAGTTAAAGAAATGTTAGCCAATTGTAGCTTGAACCCTATATTATATATTTAGAGACGGCGGGCATGTTGGTTGATCAACCTATACGAATATCATAAACTTTGGTTTGAATCCATTGAACAGTTTCGATTGATTGAGAAGATTTTTAAAGAAAAGTTGACGCAAAGTGATGGCAAAAGCAAAAGGCAATGTGAGCTAAAAAAAAAATCGTCATTAAAGGGCAATAACTCCAATAAATGGGTCGACTGAGGTTTTAAGCCTTGCTGACTTACTTTAAGATCTGGTCTTGTTTTTAAAGTTTTTCGCTTTCTATTATAGTTTTCATAATACGAGGCAAAAATGAAAATAAAATTTACTGAGCCATTTTGACTTTTTACAGATCTGGTCTTGGTGATTATTTTTGCTGTTTCTATCAAGTCTAGTTTTCAAGATAATAGGCGACAAGAATGTGTCCATAATACACGGATGCCCCACTTGCACTATGATTTTCTTTGTTCAGTGGACCGTTAAATTGGGGGTCAAAACTCTAATTTGGCATTAAAATTATAGAAAGAATATATCATAGGGAACTTGTGTACCAAGTTTCAAGTTGATTGGACGTCAACTTCATCAAAATCTACCTTGACCAAAAACTTTAACCTGAAATTTTCTATGTTCAGTGGACCGTGAAATTAGGGTCGAAGCTCTAATTTGGCATTAAAATAAGAAAGATCATATCATAGGGAACATGTGTACTAAGTTTCAAGTTGATTGGACTTCAACTTCATCAAAAACTATCTTGACCAAACGCGTTAACCTGAAGCGGGACAGACAGACGAACGGACGCACAGACAGAAAAACATAATGCCCCTAGGTAGGGCATAAAAATAAAGAAAATTAGTAAAATTCGTTATTCAAGGACAAACTCGTTACACAGTTTCGAGGCAAATTGACATTAGGAAGATCTCCATATTCTGAACATTTCTGCCTCTGTAAGATCTTATCTATCTATAGTAGTTTTCTAGATGAACGACGAAACTTGCATTTTACCCACATGTTCTATTCTTAGCTATGTCAGCCATGTTTGTTGGTAAGTGAGGTCAATGCACTCAAATTTTAAACTACAGATCTTAAGGATGTATTTGGCAAAGTTTGGTTCCAATTGGGCCAGCAGTTTCAGTGGAGGACATTTTTGTAAAAGATAATGGATCACGATGACAGAAGCCAAATGAAGAGAATAGCTCACTTGGCCCTTTGGACCAGGTGAGCTAAAATACCACTTAAAGTGTCTATGAGAACTATGATAATACATACATAGCTTTATTACAGATCAAATGTTGCGTTTTGATTTGGAATGGTTTCATGATTTATATAAATTAAAACTAAAAATTCACCCATCTTTGAAAATAGTAGTTTTGTAAAAAGTATTATATCTAAGTATTTTCAAATTAATTAAATAATCAGAAATATCAAATAAAGTTGTTAGGATTTCAAAGTACACAAATGAATTAAGCAGCAAT